GTATTGAGAGGAGTGCATGCAATAAATACACTGAGAGAAAAGAAATAACTAGCAAAGTTTGTTTTTAACTCCTCGTACATTAAAACTGAATTAGCTTCGTTGATGTGGAGCCCTTCTTAAATTGTATATATTACAAAGTTGCTCCACCAGTCCCATCACTTTTTTTTCAATGTACCTACGGTACAAGAAATATTTCATCTAGCGCAAAACAAAAACTATGAATATAGTCTTAAAAATTTTCTTCACCCTTTTAAATAACATGGTCTTCATTGCATGCCATGTCTGTCAGTGGTTTGTGGAACATGAATACCTTCGAAGATCGTATATCTATCAAAGGATTGAATTACAATTGCTTAACCGTTATATTTATCGATTATAAACATTGCAGATTTATTTCATTCAAATTGAAATATCGAACAAATGAAAGGGCGAAAATCTATATCTCCAAGTTTGTTCACACAGCCCTCAATACAAGCCGTAACTCATCAGGGCTATGGAAAATAAATGTGGTTGGCAATTTGTGCCATAGAAAACTAAAAACAATAAGATTTTTTTTATAAAAATTACACACACATTTACACATTAAATGCGTACGTATCTTTTATGTTTTATAGGGTTTCCTTTTAAATTGTGTATGTGTGCGATGGATGTGTGTATGTATGTAATTACTCAAATTAAGGACACATTTCAATCTGTTGCAAAATCTAAAAAAAAGTGCTAAAACAATTACTGAAATGTTGTTGGGTTTTTAACACCTCTGTTTTTTGCAAATTTTTAGCACTTTCATTTCGCATATATCACCCTTGGGAACAATTTCGACTTGAAATGTGAAAAGTGATTTTGCGTAAATAATTTAGTGAGTGAACAAAAAAAATGATAAATCATCTAAAACGAGAAACATGTGAAATAGTGGTAACATTTGGGAAGTAAATGAAAGCTTTTTGATTTTTCTAAAACCAGTAAGGGTGTTTTTGTCGGTTCATTTATAGGACTTACACAATTTCACAATTTTTGCGGGTTCTAATGAAAACAACCCGTTTTAAAGACCAGTTGTTTATGCAATATCGAATAAATATTGGTGGAAGATATGTCCAAGAATGCCTCTATACTCAATTCAGTATCCTATGCAAAATTTCGTGCGAATCGGAGAAATATAAGGACTTTTGTACACCATTTACATAAAATCGGACGAAATATATATGAGATCTCTATCTAAATCTGAATCGAATTTCGCGAAACTTAGCAGACATCATTCTAGACTCAATTTAGTACGCTATGCCAAATTTCGTGCAATTCGAAAGAAATATATAGGGGCTTTGTTGTACCATTTACATAAAATCGGACGAAAATATATATGGGAGCTATATCTAAATCTGAACCGACATTTACAAAACTTAGCAGATATCTTATTAGACACAATTTATTATGCTATGACAAATTGCATGCAAATCGAAAGAAATATAGGGACTTTTTGTCCACAATTTACATAAAATCGGGTGTAAATATATATGGGAACTATATCTAAATCTGAACCGAACTTCACGAAATTTAGCATACATCATTTTTGACTCAATTCAGTATGCTATGCGAAATTTCGTGTAAATATGAAAATCTGAACCGAATTTCTTAAAACTTTTCCTACACCATTCTAGACTCAATTCAGTACGCTATGCCAAATTTCGTGTAAATCGAAAGAAATATAGTGACTTTGGTGCACCATTTACATAAAATCGGACGAAAATATATATGGAAGCTATATCTAAATCTGAACCGATTTTCACCAATTTCAAAAGTGTTCGTCCTTGGGTCAGATAAATGAGATGCACCAAATTTCATCCAAATCGGATTATAAATGCGACCTGTACTTTATTTACAATTTACCATTATATCGACTCAGAAAGTGAATCTATGCATATTCTCAACAAGAACTGTGGGTCTATCTCGTTTCTTTTTGCCTGTTACAAACACGTGTACAAAGACATAATACCCTGTACCACAGTGAAGTGTATAATAATGAAATATAATATATTCCATCATAAGTCGAACTTTGTCTCATTTGATAATATTTTGAGGTCAGGAGATGGAACTGATTTTTTACAGATACACATAGGTTAAACATTATTATTTATTTGTTATACTTAATTATTAATTTTATTCCTTTTTAAAAACTTTACTAATATTTTACTTTCCTAATCTTCTTTCTAGGGTAAATATTGTGGAAAATATCGTGAGACGCTTTATGTAAAAACAATCCAGGTAATGTGATCCATAAATGATGTAATTTCAGAAATCTCGTATTATCTCGCTATGCGCTCAAAATTGTTTAGCAAATATTGATCTTATTATTTGTTGTACCTTTGACTACCCCATATAGCATTGCGAATTTTATGAAGAACTGCCATTTTCTCTTTTTTAGCAAATAGTAAAATATGTGTAGATTTATTTTTCCTCTATATTTCAAATTTCCTATTTATTATAAAGTCATTAAATCAATTCAATAGATTTTATCCAAACAATATTATGTTGTTGTAAACTTTAAAAAGGAAAACAAACAAATCTGTCTACACAAACACTGTAAATGTCATGTTTACCACATTTACTCAAAAATATGCCTTCATTATATCTCTTCTCTTTCGCTATCGCTCTCTGAAAATATAAGCCATATTAAAAATTTAATTCACATAAAATATGACAGACTGATTGACTTTTGTCTATCTTTGTTTATTTTTTGTCTAAAATTTATAGGATTAACTTTATGGTCTATTTAGTATGTACGAGTATATCTATATGAGTGTGTGTGTGCGCGTGTAAGTTTTGGTCCGTATGACAAACCTCTAATATTAACGCTTTTGGTAAACCTGGTTGCATTTAATACTCAATCAAGCCGTAAAAAGCCAATTAATGCTTCGAAAATTGTTTATAAAGTTTGTTGGTTTTGTTGTTGTTATTTTTCATTTGATTTCCTGCTTTCATTGAAAGTTTTTTTGTTGACCAACAAAAATATGGCTGATGATTGACTGACTGACTAACTTCCAGAGGTGTGTAACAGTAAAACTTTAAAACTCCACTGCAAACTAAACCGCTTGGCTGCCACAAATCAGAAGGAAGGTTATAAAACAAACTTCAGCAAAAAAATATTTGTAAAGTCACACAGTTGAGTTGAGGTCTAAAAAAATAAATAAACAACTGTCTCTGCAAATCATGTGTCCCGTAAGGCTAAAGAACTTTACGCTTCATTACCACTACCGGCTGCTTAGCCGAATGGCTGGTTGTCTGACTGGCGTAAAACAAGCTACGCTAAATACCAAAAGTCATAGTGTGACGTATCAATTCTAAATACCCAGCGCAATTATCAAGAGTCTTATTATTCTGTAGGGTAATAATAGAAAAAAGAAATACAACTAAAATAAAATTAACCCTTGCAGTGGTGAGGAGGGTGGCCACTGGGGAGACAGTAAAGAAAGTGTAGCTAAGTACAAGTTTTTAAAATCTCATTGCTGATATTTTGTTCGTAGGAAAGTTGTGCTGAATAGTAGAAATACTATGTGAGAAGCTGAATTGTCCTAGAATTCAATTGAAAAATTGAAATTAATTCAATAAAGTTATTTTAATTCGACCCTGTTGAATTTCAAATTTTCACTTAAAACATTATAAATTGACAAATCCAACACCGCTGAATTACTACTTTTCCTAACAAGATCATTTTAATTTAACCGTATTAAAGTTTTCCTGAGATTCAGCAAAGCTGAATTCATGCTTAATATAATTTCTATAATTGAAACTGGATAACTCTTATGAAATATAAATTAAACCGAGTTAAGCCACAATTTAGATTAGCAGGAGGTCGATGTTGAATTTAATTTATATAAGTAACACATTCATATTTTTCGAAAATAACTTATTCAGCAGCGTTAAATTAACGCTAAATGTATATGTCAGTTAGTTTTAGATTGTTTAATATGTGTCCAATTTGATTATTATATGCTTAAAAATGTGTATGTTGCATCCATTCAGCATGGATGCAACATACACATTTTTTCATAATTCCTCTATTTAGTTAGACTACAACATTTCAATATTTATGCTTTATAAATTGAAACTTTAAATTTTCAATGTGATCGAGTATTCGACAGCGTTGAATTCTAATTTAGATGAGCTGAATTGCAGTATTTTTCTAAAATAGTAAATATAATTATGAGCTGGTACAATATTTACCGTCAACTATTTAATTCAGCGTAGCTGAATTGCGTTTTTTTATTATAATCTCAGTTCTCTCATATTAATTAATAATTTCTAGGCCAATGAATAATTTAAAAATTTCTCTAAAATTTCTGTGACTCCAAGGGTTAAGATTGCCCGATAAATGTGGGAGGTTTTGTTGTAAAACTATTTACCCAGCCAAGAGAAAATGTCTTCAGTTTTTATTTCTTTTTTTATTTTGGAATGATTTCAATTAATTACTTAATACCATTTACGGTTGTAATGCCAAGAAATTGTTTAAGTTTTCCAAAATTTTTTTTTAACTAAATTTATGGCAATTGCAGACCTTAAATTCAAATACTTTTCATGCATAAAAGTTTCAATGACATTTTAAAAAATATAAAAAACAACAACAATAACAAAATTACAAAAAAAAATCTGTTTGTTGATGGGAGTTCGTTGAACACATTATTACATTACACATACACACACACACAATCACAGCCCACCCATGTAATTTCCATTCAATACTTCTGCCAAAACCACATAAGTAAACTGACCTTTGCTAGTGTATGTATGTGTGTGTGTGAGGGGAGAGTTGGGGTTTGATGATGTTAGATAAATACATCAAAAACTGTCAAGCAAATCAAACAATATTGGCTCAATGTTTTTTCTCTATTTGTTTCCAATACGAAGACGAAGAAATGAATGCTCTTGGCAGTAGCATTTAGTTTAAACAAAAATAATGACAACAACAACAGAAAAAATATCATATTACTAATAGGGTTATTGTCACCATAATGGCTCTGTGTCAAGCCAGACAAATTGTAAGGTAAATGGCTTAAATTACCAAGAGGGGGTTAGAGTATATATTTATCTTAATTATAGGGGAGGTATATGAGGGAGTTTTTTTTATACGAAATGTACTATTCAGTAAAGCTAAATTGCGATTTTTTACTAGAAAATAAAAAAATAGTTAATATTCCGCTGAATAACGTATTAACCTATTTAGCTAGCCACACATTTTAAAAGGACCTTAATTCGGCTAAGCTGAGTTAATATTTTTCAACAAAAAAGCGAATTTAGCCTAGCTGAATTAATACTGTTTTGAACAAAATTCTGAATTCAGCACAGCCGAATTAATAAAAGTTCAGTTCAGCACAGCTGTTTATAAAAGTCTGAATTCAGCTCAGCTGAATATCGATTTTCTAAAGGAAAACTTCATTTGCATATTCTAAATGTAAGTTATGCTGTGAAAAAAAAAACACAATTCAGCTACACATTTATTTGGATATAACATTTGTTGCTACATATTAACACAAAATAAGGTGTAACCACATTTTGTATGAACTATTTTAACAAAAAATGCTTGTTTGGTATTTCAATCGATGTTACAAGCTTCACTAATTTTAGCTTTTGTAATGTCTTAATTTAGTTTTCCTAAAAAGAGTTATATTGCAATAATTTCAACAAAATATATTGTATATTGTTACAATTTCAATTAAAAATAATTCAATTATTTTGCACTCTCCCACATTGTTAGCAGGGTGATGATGAGTTTTGCCGTATGATGATGATGATGAAGTGTAACCTAACAATGGCTCTATATTACCTTTCAATTGCTTGAGATTGTTAATAAATTGGCCAAATATTTGAAATGATTTTCATTTTCGCAATAGTCGTTTTTTTATTAGGCAGAAAATATAGCAACAAAATAATTGAAAGAAAAATTACAATAAAATACAAGCTCACAACGAATGTGGCCAAGTATCCAAAACAATAGCAAAAACTCGCACCACATGCAATACCCAGCAGAGCAACGTCTACGTCGTAGGGGTATCCAAGCAAAGCAACTATTTTGTGGGGTATTGTGAAAGCCGTTGCCGCTGACCCCGCAGCCATCGCCATCGCTACCAATGTGCATTCCTAGTTGCTGTAAAGAAATAGAAACCAAAACAAAAGCTAAGAAATGAAACACCTTAACACCAAAATACACACACACAAAGATACTTGGGAGCATAAACACATGCAAAACAATTGTATTTTGACGGACTGACTCCCAGACAATTTGCCGACAGAAGGGGCTGACTGGCCCATAACACACATACAGACACCAATACACATCAAAGCATTCAGCCATTCTCCGTTCACCATACATGGTGTTGGCTTTTTAATTAGTCGCGATATATAGAACAAGTATGCTCCAGAGTACAACTTGGCCCGGTCTGGACCAAGGTGTAAAATTAGACAAACATCAGTTCGGTAAACAGCTCATATTATATTTTGTTGTTGTTATTTTTATTATTGTTCTCTTTTGTATGAAATAAAAACTTAAAAGAAAATAATAAAACAACTAATGAAAATTTAGTTCATGAAATCTAAGTAGCTGCTGAATACAAGGCAAAATACCGAATAGTTTACAGCTCTACAGAATTTTGTAGTGAAAAAAGACGACAACGGCGAAAAAGAATAAGATGAAAAACGTAGTAGAAGTGTACTTAATACTTGCTGCTATTTAATATCACTATGGTCATGCTTGAAATCTTGATAGTTATCCGCATTGGCTCCTAGTGCTGTACTGGTGTTAGACAAAACAACAAATAATCTGCAAAATAAATATAACTATTTGAGACGGGGACACAGTGTTCGGAAATATGAAATGAAATTAACACAAAATAATTAAAATAACTGTCAAAGGTCCTCTTTAGATTCAAAGTCTATCAGAGGTCGAAAACTTTCAAGAGGATTTTCCGATAAAAACACAAATAGAATATAGATAAGACAGAGCTAGAGAAGTTTTTCTAGCTAGTTTTTCTTCAGAGAGTATATATATTATTGCTGCTAATGCATGGTTGTCCTTGTTTATATGCGTTAATAAGCTCGTTCTCTGCGTTCTCAGTTAATCCCCGAGCCTGTATTTTTTGAGCACACCTAATATAGATATATATTCAGATATATTTTACGGAAAGTTGGTGGAGCGAGAACTTCTGCCAAGATAGAGAATAAGTCGTTTCATGGCATAAGTGGTGTATATAGACGAGAGAACTCTTTTATATATAGAAGGAAGAAGATAGAAGATATATGGAAGAGAAGAGTCTATATATATAGAATATTAAACGTTCTTATATATTGCAAATAGAGAAAAAGTCTAACATGGACAATCTCAAATTCATTGCCATTCATTTAGTGTACAGTATATTGTAATAATATTAAGAGGTCTTGTTGTTGGTAGCTAATTTAATATTATTTAATTTGTTGTAATAGTATTATGTGGTTAACAAAAAAACATTATTAAGTCTTAAATTGTCATGACGCGGGAAGTTGGCATATTAATACCATATTGGCCCAAATATGCAATTCTCCGCACCCCCACCCAAACACAATTAATAATATTTGATGACAACTGTGTTTTTGGGTTAATATATTACATTGGATTATGTTTGGTCACACAAATCATTTACATGTCAAAAATATATTTGTGAGAATTTTTTAAATATGAAATTTAACTCGAAATGTTGTTCTTGTTGCGGAGTTTTTGTTTTGGGGAAGGGGAGGTAGGGGATTTTGTTATCTCTAAATTTCGTGTAACACTAAATCGTTCCACTAACCATGGAAACATTTTTGTTTTGATTTTGCGTGATATCCATCATGTCGATTTGTGGAAATTGGATTTTTTATTTATTATTAATTGCAAAATAAACACGCAACCAATCCAAAGGAATTGTGAAAAGAAATATTTATGTAAATGTGAAAATTGTGTGAGGATAGGGATTTAAAAATGGTGGGAAATTATATTTATCGCTGAAGATTTAATCAACAAAGTGCTAATTTATGATAGCCCAATAACCACATCGCAATGTATTCTCCTCTGATTTAATAATATATTAGTATTTAAGGTCCTTGTTTTTTAAATTAAAAAAGAGGCCATATGCATATTTTTATTTAAAAAAAAGTGCGAAGCCTTTGATTTTTCTCAATTATTAAGGCATTTGAGTTTTTCTATAAGACATGGACCATTGGAATGTGTGATTTACTTAATAAATATGAGAATCCCATCTTCCTTATTTCCAAATTCAATTTCTGAATACATATAAGTACTCAATACAATTTAGATACAATTTATGATATTAAAGATTTAATTTTATAAATTTTTAGTGCGTCTGCAAATGCATCAATGATTTTTTAATAATCCGAATTCTATATAAAATATGGTTTAAATGTCTATGATATATATTTTTTTTTTATAGAAAAGCGTGTAAACACTTTAATTTATTTTTTAAATAAATTTTTACATTGTTATCATATTCCCTTTATATGTTTTTATATTTATAAAATTAATATTAAAATCCACTTAAAAATCAAATGTCCAACAATTTATTTTAATTGTTTGTTATTTTTATGGTTAGATTCAATTACATAATGCCCTGCATTTTTATATATTCATAAAAACGTAGTGGGGGAAAACCTTAAAATTATGTTTTCCGTTCTCTCCACCTCCACAATAATAAAGTGTTGATTAGTTTACAACTTGTTGCATGTTGCACAAAATGATCCATTCATCCATCCATCTATTATGGGCCTACCCACATAATTTTTTGTTTGCTTGTTTTTTGGATTGTTCAAATAGACATTGTTTCATTTATTGTAATTAAATTAAATTGAAAAACTACATGAAAATCAACAACAACAACAAATGAAATTGAAATAAAACACACACACACACATCAACAAAATGAGGAAAACCAAAATTGGTCATAGCCGCCACACAGCTGAGCCAGTAATAATAATGGCAACCTATATTGCCAAGAGATTACCACTACTCTAACACCATCCGTGTTACCCACTCCTTCCAAATACGGAACATTCAAGAAGGAAAATGCAGTGCAAAGTAATTTTCGTTTTATTTTCTGGGGTTTTATTTGTTCACCGTTTTTTGTCGTTTGTCGTAGCATTAGTTTCTCTGTCTGTCTGTCCGTCCGTCCATCCATTCGCTTGTCTCTAAATTCAAATCTAAACACATAACAAAATTAAAGCAAAAGTGAAAAAAACGAACGAACATTAAATTAAAACCACACTATAAACCAACAAAAAAATATATCAAGGGGAAAATGCCAAAGTGTAACATTTAAATGGCATTAACTTTAAATAAAAAATAAAAAATATATATGTTGTTCAGAGATATCTATGTATTTTTGCTGCACAATGGGTTCAGACTTTTTCCAATAAAGGGAATATTACAATGGAATTTTTTTACGATAAAAAAATATGGCCAACACTATCTCTCTCCGAATTTCAAAACTGATGTCATTAGTTTTATTTATGGCGACACCAAGGTATCTTTGGCTACCTCGTTCTAGTTCCACAGTTAGTATGAGTCCACTGGACGTCTTGAGCATTGATACCATCTGCTTGGTCTGCTCGCCATTTACTGTCAGTCCCACATTGCAGACTCCTTTCCAATTTGTTCAAAGGTGGCAGTTACCGCTCGCAATGTTCGACTTATTATATCGAGGTCATCGGCGCAGGCGAGTAACATGTGTTGTTTGGGGTACAGAGTGCTATTTCTGTTTGCTCTCGTATGATTTTTTCCAGCAGAATGTTAAACAGCTCACACGACGAACTGTCACCTTGTCCGAATCCTCGTTCCGTATTAAAGGCCTCCGATAGGTCTTTTACGACATTAACTGCTAATCTTGCCTCCGATAGGTCTTTTACGACGCAGACATTGTATTCGACGAATAGGTGGAATGTGTCGATGTGTTTTTCGTGAGTCTTTTCAAGGATTTGGCGCAGAGTGAAAATCTGGTGAATGGTAGATTTGCCAGGTGTGAA